TTCAGGTGAACCAATGGTGGCAGGAGCAGCTGGAGTCTTGTATAATTACAGTGTTAAAAAACAGTTGCTTCATTCCAGGTAACATTTTATAGCTAACCATTTTAAAAAATGACCTCGAATTTATTTGACAATTAAGATGTGGTTGAGTATATTTTTGTATAAATAAGCTGGTATGTTTTCCCAGATTTTTTTAATGTTAGTAACTAAGTATATGGGGTCTGATATTTCAGAATTTTTGCTTTTAAAGCTGGAAGAAAAAGCAGAAATGGCTATATGAACCTTAAAGAATACAAGAAAAAGGGCTGAGACTGTACTGTTACTAAATGAATGATAAATTGAGACCAATGAAATTTCTCTTCCTGTTTTCTCCAGCACTGTTATTGCTAGCAACATTCTCTTGGTTGATGAAATTATGCGAGCTGGAATGTCATCTCTCAAAGGCTGAATTGGAAGACCTCTTGAGTGGGGAATTTCTACCAATGGTTTCCTGAGTTCATGTTAACAACATCCCTTTTCCAACATGTAATTCAAAAATTATAGGAGGAAGAAAACTTTACCTTCAGGAATTTGGCCACTCACAAATCTTTCATTTCTATAGAATCGATTACTATTTATTTTTTACATGCACTGAACAAATGCATCTGAAGTTACTGTCTTTCAACCCATTAAAGTTTTGCCCTCTCTTCAGATTTGAGTATTGTCTATTTTAATAATATTCATTGTTTATATCATTTTCTATAGTTTCCATGGTATTAAAAAAAACCTATCCTTTTTATAACCATGTAGTCCTTTCCTGGTAGAGTCAGGGTGATTATGTAGAGCTGAGCATTTACTGATGCCTTTCTTGACACCACATGGGAGTTCGCAGCAGATGTTTCTTCTTGCCCTAGGAGAGAAACATCGGCCGCTACCTAGGATTGAACTCTCATCTCCGGTAGGTCGCCATGCCACTCATATTTTCTACTGCATTGTTGGTATGAAATTCCATAGCACATAATTGCCAGAAAAAACTTACCACCTTATATATGCATTCAAGGTGGTGCATTACAAATATAAAACAATTAATTGTTAGCATTAAAATTAAGGTGTTAAATTAGTTTGAAATTAAAAGCCTGGTGAATAAGATGCATTTTTGCCATTTTTCTTGAAAAGCTCTAGTATAATGGAGAAAATGCTGCACTGGGATGGTGGCTGAGGCACTGGAAAGGATCTTGGGAGGCAGGCAGTGTGTATACTGTGTTGTATAGTATACTATATACTGGGATTTTTGGGTCGGCAAAAGTGAGGCATCTCACCACTGTTAGCGTTAGGTTACTCAACCCTTGCTCATTACTACTATATTAAATACAGCATTTACCATACTCCCCAATTTTCATAACATTGCAGAACTCTATAGTTTTTGCTGATATTCTTTGGCTCAGCTGCAGCAGGGGAGGCATTGTTTTTCAATAGCCCCTGATTTGAGAATGGGAAGATTGCAAAGAAAAATCTCTGGTTTGGCCTATAAAAAGGACTAGGCTTTGTTGACTGCACTGTAATTATTAATTTGTACCATCTTCAGTAGCTTTATAAAACAGGTGTTTTCTGCTTGTGGATTTACTACGCTGCAAATAAAAATGAGTTGCTCTTGTCACTTTGATTTTATAAAAAGTTTCTAAAGTAGGATGGCAGAAAACAGATGAGCTCTATTTGTTACTTCAAGCACTGGAAGGAAGCCAAGTACTGCAGCTATAAAATAAAATGGAATGCTTTTGATTCTAATCACTTAATCCCTCCCTCCCTAAATCTGGATGGTGCCACATTTCCTACATCCCCCTCCCCCAGACGAGGCAATTACACGACTGAATCCTTCATAACTGGCTACCAACACTTAAACGCTGACGGCTGACCTTCAGAAATACCTACCCGTCTGCAATCCTCTTTCAAAAGGAAAAAAAAACGAAATGTATATATTAATGAAATTCATGTTGCAAAAAGCTGGCTAAGGATTAAGGCAGCTTTAACTCGAGACGAGTTCTTAGATGAGGCACACAAAATGATGCTGTTTGCTCCGTTTTGAATTGAGTCAAGTGGCTTCTTCCAACTGGTTAATCAAACGAGAACCTTTAATGAAAGTTTTCTTTAAAACATAATATTCATATAATAAAACAAATATCCCTTCCGAGACAAAAGATTCCAACAGCCATAAATCCCAAAATAAAGAGTTTTCCTCCGAGTTTAAGACCAGCAACTATTTCGCATAAAAAAGAGGGAGAGGAGTCCTTCCCCACCCCCACCAAAAAAATATATAGAAAATCCGACGCGAAGCCAACCCGCCCCGTTTGCGAAACGAAGGAAGTTCGCAGCTGCAGGACACGTGTGTGTCTCTCCCGTCGACCCCGGAAGCAATCGCCCTGCCCAGCTGCTTCGCTGCAAACTGGTGCCAAGGGGGCGAAGGGGTCGCCCTCTTCCCGTTTCAATGTTCTTCTCCCCCACTTTGCTGGCGAGTGTCTTGCCCGTCCTATTGTCTCCCTGGGCGGTGACCGGGAGCCGTTCGGAGAGCCCCGGTGAGTCCCCGCCGCGGCTTCTTCTCCTTTTCCCGCGTGGGGGGGTCGAGGCTTGGCTTAAATTCTCTCCTTGTATGCAAGCAGGGCGCTAAACTTTTACTCCCCCACGATAATGTTTTTGCCAGAAAGACTCGAGGTTGAGAAATAATTCCCTAGAATAGAGTGGAATTTGCTTCAGACATAGGCAAAAATAGAATAAGTATAAGAATTAGAAGAGAATAGAATAATTGAATTGCATTGAATTATTTATTGGCCAAGTGTGATTGGACACACAAGGAATTTGTCTTTAGTGAATATGCTGTCCTGTACATAAAAGGCAAGATACATTGGACAAGAATCATAAGGTACAACAGTTAATGATAGTCATAGAGTACAAATAATAATAATAAATAAATAAATAAAACAAATAAAACAATAAATAAATAAAACAAAAAATAAGCAATCAGGAAACAATCAATATTAATATAAATGGTAAGGATACAAGCAACAAAGTTACAGTCCTGCAGTCATAAGTGGGAGGAGATGGATGATAGGGACGAAGAGAAGACTAACAGTAATAGTAATGCAGCCTTAGTGAATGGTTTGACAGTGTTGAGGG